TGCGTCCTCCTGATCCAACCTCAACCTCACGCTCCACCCTTCGTGTGTCAGGCGATTCGGCATCCGAAGCTCGCGGTGTTGCTGGTGTCAGGATTGTGCTAAGTGCCAAAGCTGAGCGCTCGCTTCTTGACTGGATTCCAGTCAGTAACCGATTGTGCGCTGTACGTCTCAACGGTTTAGTTCGAGTCAACAGCTACAGAAGGAAGCGTCGATGCTTATTCGTCGTATCGGCGTATGCACCGACCGATTGCAGTATACCTGAAATCAAGGATGAATTCTTCAAGGATCTTTTTCAACTACTCCAAAGTGCTCGGTCAACGGAGGGCGTAGTAGTCGCCGGGGACTTATATGCTCAAGTGAAATCCCTGGACCAATCAGAAAGGCTTCTTGGCGGACCACATGCAATCCCAGCCAACTGGACGGAGATCGCCTACTTCAACTCTGCACGGACCACGAATTGTTCCTGTCAAACACGAACCTCTCGCACAAGAAACGCCATCGACTTACATGAAAACCGCCAACCTCTTCACAGCGCTGCACTCAGATCGACCACATCGCCATCAGTTACCGCTGGAGGGGATCAACTCAAGACTGCCGCTCTTACTGGTCAACAGCTGTGGATACAGACCACACCTTATTACGACCCACGTTCTCCTTACGCCTGGAAAACAACCGCCAAAAAGCCACCGACAACGGATATCCGCGATACAGTGTCAGTGCTTCATGCAAATCGGCCCCCGAAGCGGAGCTCCCTGATCGCCTGTCAGTTCAACCGCCAGCCGAAGGACTCAATGAACACTGAAAGCAAATCAAGGAAGCTATGCAGATATCGATGAAAACAACGTCGGACCCTGCCACAAGCTCAAAACACAAAGGGTGGATATCGTCGACCTAGGTTGCCCTGCTGGACGCCCGCAGAACCCTTCCTCCGGATGCCACATACGACACAGCGCGCAAATTCCTCGGGCTTACGGCACTTTTTCTTCCGAGTTCATCACGGAAAGTGGTGTCCGTCAGGGTTGCCTTCTCTCTCCTTTTCTATTTAACTTTGTTATATATTTGATTATGGAAACAGCCCTATCCTCGCACGAGGACAGTGGCATCGATTTACTCCCAGGTGGCAGGCTGTCTGATCTAGAGTACGCAGACGACATTGTGCTACTAAGTGAAGATCCAGGTAAGTTGCAAACATTTCTGGATAACTTGAATGCCAGTGCAGCCGTATTCGGTATGCGCTTTGCACCTTCAAAGTGTAAAATGTTGCTACAAGACTGGGTTGGTCCAGCACCCAGCCTCACTCTAACTGGGGAAGTAATAGAACAGGTGGATAAGTTTTGTTATTTGGGCAGCTACATCTCACCCGGTGGAGGCATCACGGATGAAGTGTCAGCTCGCATACAGAAGGCTCGATTGGCATTCGCTAACTTGATACATTTGTGGCACCGTCACGACATCCGGCTTTCTGTGAAGGGTCGAGTGTATGCCGCGACGGTTCGGCCAGTCCTGCTATACGGTGCAGAAACTTGGCCATTAAGAAAACGAGATAAAGACAGAGTGTTGGTGTTTGAACACCGCTGTATACGCAGCATTGCACGAATCTGGTGGGGTAACCGGATGAGCAATGCTGAGGTTAGGGGCAGAGTTTTGGGTATCCGCGCTCACCCACTGGGGCAAGTGGTCGACCTCCATAGATTACGTTGATTGGGACATGTGTTACGCATGTCACCAGGCAGGTTACCACGGCGAGCGATGTTCGCCGAAGCAGACACCGAGTGGAAAAAAACCAAGGGTGGTCAAGCTAAGACCTGGCACGAGGGTATAAAAACCTTAACCAGGAAACTGGGTCACATAGGTCCTGTTAGGCTTCCTGGCTGGGGACCTCGGGATGATCGTAACCGATAGTTAGAGACGCTGAGCGATATGGCTGGGTGTCGTAAACAGTGGCGTTTGTGCATCTCCTCAATTTCTTTGCAACCTTAGACCACTAAACTTCTCCATTTTCTCTTCGAATCTACTTTCAACTTTCCTTTGTTCTCCTATTCTTCATCCCAATGGGCAACCAAAAGACAGCAACCAAAACCGGCGCACGAATATGCGTGGTTAATGGTTGTTCAAACTGAAACTGACATTGAACACTTCCCTGGTCAGTTATGACCATGGAAACCAGCGCTTGTCATACGGAAAGTTTCATCTTCGTTGTTGACGAAATGTTCCCAATTAACTGCACACTGCCAGGAATCAGCTGAAAATCAAGCAGAATGTCTACAACTTTCCCTCTAGTATGTTTTCCATTAACAGGTTTGTTGTCCCCTATCAACTTTTTGACTTGGTAAGACAAAACCGAATGCATTGGAACTACCACATGAATCAACCAAGTCAGATTTAGTCATCTTCGCGATATCTGACCGACTTTGAGGATGACTTTTTCCTGATTTTTACTGTGCACCAGATTCACGATACAATTTGCGAATTTATGGGACTTCGGGATGAGTGATATTCCATAGCATCGCGTAGTCTTTCAGTTCAGAATGCACCTCTAACCTGCTACAGCTATTTGACCAAGGACCTGATATTGTTTCACTCTTGATAGTAGCATCTGCGCTCGTGTCTAGCTCAATACCGCTTCCAAGGTCGACGGTCATCATCTTGTGTGAATGGTTCAATCCATTTTTAGAGCATCAAGCTTGGATTAGCCCATTCGATTGTTCAGAGGTACCAGGCACTCTTGATGGTCTTGGGTGTGGGTTTCACTCTTCGGGAGATGTTTGTGTAACTTTAAGGTAAGGGTTTGAAGTCTCCACCCGAATGTTCGCGATTCGAGTCCGAACAGGGACGCAAAAAGTACACACTGCTGACGAGTACCAAAACAGAACGAAACAGCTGTCCAGTGCTCTTTGTCGGTCATCACAAACATTTGCATCGTATTTAAATGCATTACCTCGTGGGGAATTAACGATCTCCCAAGGAGTGAAACCCACACCCAGGACCATCAAGAGTGCCTGGTGCATCTGAACAATCGAATGGGCTAGTCCAAGCTTCATACTCTAAATATCTGATGGAAACTTTTCATACGACTCATCTTATTCAAAGAAACCCGATTACCCCCACTTGTTTTAGTCTGCCTGCCTAAGCGGCTACCACAGTATGGCCGTTTCCGTACACCGGAAACTCTGTAGAGTCCGAATTGAGAGTCCTTTGTCTGGTTTGAACCAGCAAAGGCTTCCGTAGGCATATCACAATTTCATCCGTCACAAGTGCCCAAAACTGCTTGAAATCCTTGGCACTTCAGGCGTTATGCAAAACAATGAGTTCCGTACTGAATTCAGCTTTAAAACACCCGGAGAACACAAGCAATCTAAACCAGGGAACCGGTTTATGAATATTGTTAATTGTATTGTTTAATCTGTTTCAGTGTTGGTATTATGTTTGCAAATGAAACGTACCATTCTCATTTTGTTTCCCTCTGTCCCTCAACTAAACGCTGATCTTACCAGATTTTGGAAGTCAGTCATGAGATTGTAGAATTAGAAGTTAGCGGGTTCAACACGACCGAAATGACGGTGGCTGCAATCAATCTGGGTGGTGAATATATCAAACAGTTGAGCAGATCAGCTGAAAAGCAATCAGTCGAGGTGGGCGGAGATTCGGCTGCTGAGACTCGATCAGATAGACATAAACCAACAACGAATCCGAACGAAACCCGTGTCAAACGGTTGCGTGCTGGGTATGAGTACCCCTATATTTTACAGGTGAGTGATCTCGTCTAATTCTGTCATACCTTTCCTTTTTACTCGTACGTGCTCAAACACGAAGTGAATTGAAAGGAAGTGTTTTCTTGACACTCGTAACTAATCGTCTCTTGTTAGTTTCAATCCACTTGAAATCATTCAGCGGGTCAGCATGCGATTTTGATAATTGATTTCTGATTACTGTCATCCTGCGGTATGCTGAACATTACGCTTGTTCTGCATTACTATTCCTACTGAGATGTGCGTGTGTGTTTCGGGGGGGGGGGGGGGGGG